ATGGATAGCAAAAAGACTAGTAATTTTCATTATTCCCATGAGAGGCATACAAGTATTCCTCAAGTTATCACAACAATTGGGATTGGGAACTCTATCACTAAGCCAAGTGGTCATAAAGTGAAACATAATGTGACCATGTGGCTTAATGATGGCATAACTTTCAATGGTCATTGATCATAACTCAAGACTACTTGTACTGGTTTGCATGTTAGTCTCTATGTTAGAGATCTTAGCTTGCACAGAAAAGCCTTGTTTGCGATAAAATGCAGGCTGCAGTTATATTAATGGTATACTCACCTAAGGGTTCCCAAACTAATTGGTATTTTCTTTATCATTAGCAGGGAATATGCATATGACACAGATACAACTAAAACTGTTCACCTTACCTAGATCTTTTCTATCTTACAAATAGGTAGCTTGGCCAAAGAAAAAGGAAAGAAAAGCTAAAATGTTTTTGAAGACATAAGTGGACATAAAGAAAGATGATGTATAAACTGCTTGGAACAATGTCATAATCAGTATGTGGGGTTGAGCTAGTAGGAATTATAAAAATAGAGAATGAGAGGAAAATGCATGCCAAAGAATGAGTGCTATAAAATTGAGGATGAGAGGAAAATATTCATATAATATGTATATAGACAAAAAGATGGACACCAAAATGTAGTCAAACAGAGCAAAGAACAATTAAGATTAAAAGAGAGAAAATGCAGAATATTTTTGCTATAAACATAAGTTTTTAGTACTGGGAGAAGAGAAAGAAATTTTCAAGGAGGTGAATGCATGTACAAATAACTAATGAGAGTAGTTGAAATGAAATTGCTATTTGTTATTAGAGGTGAAGATGAAGGTGTATAAGAGTATATGTGTAAGATTTCTGTCTACATAATTATATTGAAGTGGGAACTGGGTATCTTAGGAGAAAAATAAAAATAATTTGAGTGTAGTGGGTGTAGATGTCTTAAAAAGTACATATAGTAAAAGAAAAAGAGATAAGTTCTAACAGAACAGGTGCTGAATGACTGTGGACTGCATAGAAAAGTGAGTGGTCAGTACAAAAGAAATATGTTGGGATGGTTTGATCAAAGAGAATGAAAAAATATTGGATTGCAAGACAAATATATGACAGAATAGTGCACAGGTCAAGATGAAGGAGAAGAGTGAGTATATCATGGATGAGTGGACTTGATGAGCTGTTCAAGATGACAGAGGTGAGGTATTTAAAGAACAAAAGGCAATGAGTCTAAGATGTTCCTGTTACATATTAATTCAGTGTTACATTTTCAGAATAGGGTTTTCTATCTCAAAATATAGTCAGATTCTTAAAATACTGATTCCTAGTATGTTGGCAGTGTGAAGCATTTTTAAAAATGTAACTGAAGGACTTTAGGAGATTCAACTAAGTCCAGAAAGCATATTAACTTTGACCCAATATAATTGCAGGGAAGGGAATCTGGAAATGTTTTATGTTGTAATAATTATAATGCAGTCACTCCAAACCATTTAATTCAACCTGTTTTTACTCAAATGGATTTTTGATATTGACTAATTTGGATCTAAACCTGTTTAAGTGCAATCAAGAGGCACTAAATGTCATAAATAGTTCTGAATATCTCTTTAAAAATAAATGAAAAAGAATGCCTAATATTACATTTCCAGTCAAAGAATGTTAAGATTAAACCACTCCTAATCATACATATGGCAGTAATCCAATTAGTCATTTTTCTTTTTCTTCTTGCATTCCCTCATTTAAAATAAAGACTTTTGGACAGAATTGTCAATCAGTACTTTCCCACAGGGAAGATTTAAATCAGATCTTTGAAATAATTTTGATAAAACACAGCCTAGCCCTCATTCAGCTATTATGAAGCTATAAAGACATGGGCTATTGTTGCTGTCAGATAAAAGTTAATAGTACATTTCAGTGAAATCACTATTTGTTTCAACAAAGGGGGGGGGGTAATTGGTAAAATATATATTAGTTACTGTGCCTTTACAAATGCTGGGGTGCAATAGTTGGATACTTGAAAAACTTACTGCAACCTCCCCCACCCCCCAAAAAATTATATATCATCTGAAGATTTAGTTTTATTGTGACATAATTGTGTACTTCTGTGACAGCCTAAACTGTGTGTGAGTGAGATTTTTAAATACATAAACATCTATAGATTGAGGAGCAAAATTTATGCATCAACATCCAAGATGAAGGATATATTTAGTGTCTTGCCCCTTTTCAATACTTAGGCTTAACCAAATTTAATTCTGTCTTATGATTTCAACTGCACAGTAGGCCTGCAGGATTTATTCCTGTCATGTCTGTCTATTTTTCCATCTATCTATCAGCAAGGAGAATGTACATAGTCCTGGAGGCTCCACAAAAAAATTTTTAAGGGACAAGAAGCTTGTCTTTTTAAGAGACAAGAGTGTGCTGCCAGATGGTTTAGCTGGAAAGTAGGTGGACATAGGCCGCCTTCTAAAACTCCACCACAAAACAAAATAAGCAGAAGAAACAAGGTTTTAAATAAGGTTCTGAACAGAGGCTTCTATCATCTAACCATTTGCTTATAATAGGAGAGAAGGATACAAAACACAGCAGGTAGAAGAGAATGCAAATATAATTCCTTGCACTTTAGTCATGTTTCTAAACTAAAAATGCTTTGTCATACTCAACTACATTACTTTTACTCATGTGGAGGCTCCAAATAAACCCTTTGTTTACTGAGAAAAGTATTTTATAGAAATTCTCAATTATTGAGAAGCACAGAATTAATAAACCTGAAATCAACTTTTAAAGGACTTTAAACTTTTATCAAATAAATATTTGCAAGAAGCATAAATTCCAACAATAGATTAATGAATAGAACATGGAATAGGAAATAGAAATTGTGCATAGAGAAAAATTCTGATAATTACAGAAGAAGCATCTGGGACTCTGGTTTTACTTTGAATGTTGAATCTGGTTCCTTCAGATCCATTACTTCTTTAATTAATGTAAAAAATAATTTTCAATGAATTGCGTAGCAGTAAACGTTAATCAAAAGATAAATCTTTGTTTATTTCCGCAACTATGGTGTTTACCCATGGGCAGTTACACAGTATATAGGAATGTCTGGAATTCAGCCATGTCGAAAATAAATATGTCACATATCCATGCAAGGGATTTTTTAGATAAAAAGAGTTACTTTGATTATACTCTTCAGAGAACAGTATGACATTACATAGTTCTGAAAAATGAAGGACGATTCAAGGGAAAAAAATCAAAATCCTCGGCAAGTCAGTATAATAAATTTATAAATTAAAACAATTGATTAATGAAAGCATCCCACAATCTAAGGAATTTTTCACAATCTCTTTATTTTAACATTCCATTGTCTCAAAGCACTGATGCCAGCATACATGCTTTCTTCATCTTCTTTCTAATCAAAATCCTTGTCCAAGTTTTTCTTGCTATCCAACAGTTTCATCAGAGATTTTCAATCTAATGTGGCAAAATTTTCAGCGTCTCCAGATGTAGAATTACACATTTGTAGGCATAAAATTGATCAGTCAGCCACACACTTGGTTTGTTATGTGTGCCATGATGTAAGTTGCTCTACAAATAATAATTTTAAAAGAATTCATAATATGTTGGCAAGATATTGAGAGTTCTAAAGTGAAGGTGAATTGCATATTGCTGAATGGACAGTTGAGTGGCTGTTAATGATAGATCTTCCAACACCACAAGCTAACACTAAAATGGTGATTAGGTTGCCTAGCTCTCAGTTTGAATGCATGTCTGTACAAGTACAAATATACCTAAACACTATCAGGTATTGTGGGAATTTGAATTTGAAGCTGGGTGATGAGTCGCCCTATGTCCTCTTTCTTTGTTGTATAACATCCAGAGACTCAGTTGATTGGGGAGTCTATTAATATTACAAATAAACATTGCAAATAAATCACACAAACAAAATGTTACTATTGGGGGCAAATGGTTATTTACTGTCTGAAGGAAGGACATTTTTGAACCCAGGTTTTTGTGTGCAAAACTTTTACATGCAAAACTTCTAAATCTCAGTGTGGAAATTTCACAGCTGTACACACACAAAAATGACACTGGCTTGCAGAGACTTCAACTGTCAGGATATTCTTACTCATTTGAAATCATATCTCAAAACTTAAGAGACCATCAGTTCTTTAGTTCTTCTATTATGATGGTAATTGTTTTACCCACTGGTTACTTTTCGTGAGAAACTACAGTGCAATGATTTTCCATTGTCTTCTGCATCCCTGTTTATTTTTTTGTATGGATGTATTTTATCATTGCCAATATACTGTATATCTGCCACAGCTGTTCTAGCCTACATGCTTCCACTTGTAGTTGCTACTGGTAGAGCAGCTGCTTTCTATCAGAGTTAATCTTATTACTTGTCAAGTCACGGCACTGTCTTTGGATATATTGTTGTCAATATATTTCTTGCATGTTAGGGTTACTATATTCTTCTAGGAATCTCATATTTGTTCATAGTTGTTATTTGACACACTTATATCACAGCTATCCATTATTTCTAATAGCTGTTCTGTACATCCAGTACCTGGAACGGACATTGTATCTACAAGGTTTCTATGAATGGGATGAAGTTTTGATCAGTAAGACAGAAAGACATTTGAAGTTTTTCATTTTTCAATTTCTTTTAATGTAGATTTCAAAATACCTGTAATCAGTTTAAGAGTATATTGTCCATTCAGTTCTCAATTATATTTCTGACAGTTTCTCATGTATCTTCCATGTACTTTCTTCAAATTATTTTAGAAATGCATATTAAAAGAGATTTTGATATAATCCATTTATGCATTTACCTGAGACTAAGATCAATTGAATTTAATAGGACTTGTTCTTCAATAGATACGCATAGCAGAAAAATGCAATTGTAGTTAAACAATAGAGACAGAAGATTTCCAAGCAGATTTTCCTAACTTTAGTTTATTATCTAGACAACTGAATTTCATACTTATCTTTTCAGATTGTCATTGCCAGCATCATGTGCAGCTATAATAAGAATGATTGGACTGAGCTTTCAAAAATGGCTGAGGTAATGACTTACTAATATGTCTTCTCTTTTCTCCCTCTTTCCTCTTTTTTTTTTCTTTCCCCTTACTCTATAATTGTGTGAAAGAAGAAATTCAAATGAAAAATGAGGGTTTAAAATGTATCTGTGATTGCTTGTTTGTTCTGTGTTTTCATTAAAATGATAGAAATGTAAATTAAATGAATCTATTCCATAGAAATGGTCCCCTGGACTTTGCATGCTACCTGAAAATTCTGTAGCCTTTGAATTTCTATGCTTTTTTATTTGCATTTTAAGCAACATGCATATTATGACGGATGCCTTGATAAAATTTAATTCTACCTTTGAGAACCTAACTTGATCTTACCTTGCCTTCAGGCACTCCAGTTTGACAGCAGTGGAAGAAATTTTGAATATAAAACTCTTGAATATTTAAAGTATAAAAGGCTCATTTAATGCTTTTCTGGTTCTAATACAGATTTAAAATAAAGGAGGAGAAAAATACCACATAAAAGTCGCTGTACATAATACCACTTTGTTGGTTTTTCTATAGTTTAAATATCATCTTGCATAAATGAAAGTAACTTTGTCAAATACTTGGAATTTGTAGCACACACACACACACACACACACACACACAGTATATATATATGTGTGTGTGTGTGTGTATTTGTTTTCTGAGGTTTTCGCGGATATTTGTATGTGGATCTTTGGTTATTTGGGTTTTCTCCCGCGTAAAATTGGAAGTATCTAGGCGACATTTTGATGAAGTCTCATTCATCATCTTCAGGCTTGTGTCTTCGGCTTTGTGCTTCTCGGAGTAATGTGAGTTTGCAGCTGCTTCTTCCTTTTAACTGCTAGTGGGGGTGTGACTTGATTGGGTGGGGGCTTGGGTGTGTTCTGATTGGGTGGGGGTGTGTTCTCATTGGTTGGGGGTTTGGCTGTGTTCTGATTGGCTGGGGGTGTGTTCTGTTCAGGTGGGGGCTTGGTTGTGCTCAGGTTAGTCTTAGTTGCTGGGGGATTTGAGCTGGTGAGCTGTGATCCTGCTGTTTGGCTTCGCATTCGTGGTCATGCCACATCTTCATGGTGGGCATCAGTTCGCTTCATGTATGGGTCGGAGGGGTTTGAAGCGGGTAGCGATGCAGCTGCGGTACAGCTTCTGGTCCATGGTCGTGTCTCATCTTCTGTGTGGGTGTGAGTCTGCTTTCTACATGGAAGTGTGGTGGTAGCTTCTTGTGTGGCCCTTATGCGTGTGGGTCTGGTGTCATTCTTCATGTTAGGTACTCGTTTGTTCATGAGGGTGGGTTTCCAAATGGCTGGTAGGCGGGAGGTATCATCTCGTTTATTCATGCTGTGTGGGCGTTTTTCTATATCTATGGCTTCTCTGATTAATCTGTTGTTGAAGTGTTCGGTTTTGGCGGTAGTTCTGGTATTTTTAAAGTCAATCTCATGTCCTGTGGCTTTGAGGTGTTGGACCAGGGAAGAGGCTGGTTCTTCTTTTTTGATTGAGTTCTTGTGTTCTTCAATGCATGCACTTATTCTTCTGTTAGTTTGTCCGATGTATGTGGTGGGCAGGCGGTGCAAGGGATTTTGTATACTCCTTGGTTTTCTAATTCGATTTTGTCTTTAGGGTTTCTTAGGATGGTGGATATTTTTCTGTTTGTGCAGAATGCTGTTTTAATGTTGTGCTTTTGGAGGATCTTTCTAATTTTGCCTGTAGTGCCTTTTATATATGGGAGGAAGGCTTTGCCGTTCTCTTGTTCTCTGTCTTGGATTTTGGTTGGGGTTTCTCTTTGGGTTAGGTGGGTAATCTTCTTTCTTTGGAATCCATTGGCTGTTAGTACGTTAGTGAGAGTGTGTAGTTCGGTTTTTAGGTGTTGTTCGTCAGCAAAGCATTTTGTTCTGGAGATGAGTGTCTCGGCTACGGAATTGATCTGTGCTGGGTGGTGGTGTGAGAGTGCATGTAGATAGCGGTTTGTATGTGTTTTCTTCTGGTAGATGGTGTGTCCTAGGGAGCCATTGGATTTTTTGTATACTAAGACATCTAGGAAGGGAAGTTGATTGTTAGCTTCTGTTTCCATGGTGAATTGTATTTTGGGGTGTAGGCTGTTGAGGTGTGTTAGGAAGTAGTTCAGTTTTTCTTTCCCGTGTGGCCAGATTATGAAGGTGTCATCTACATATCTGAGCCAGAGTTTGGGTTTGTGATCATATTTTTCTAGAGCTTGTGTTTCAAACTTCATCGAAATGTCGCCTAGATACTTCCAATTTTATGCGGGAGAAAACCCGAATAACCAAAGATCGATCTATCTCTCTCTCTCTCTCTCTCTCTCTCTCTCTCTAGACACACACACACACACATACACACACATGCATAGATACATACATACAACATATGGTATCTGTAAATGTAGAAAGTGAAATTTAATTGTGCTTTTAATATATAATTGTGCTCTAAGATACTATCCAATATCCTAGAAACAATAAAACCATTGCAGTTTTACAAACTGTCACTATTGCCTTTTATGTTATGGGCCTATAAAAAGAACATTTTTTAAAATGTTAAACATTTCACTGTCAAGTATTTATGACCTCCCAGGTACATAAACTCTAGAGGGTAGTCAGTCTGGTCTCCACAGGAGGCCAACCTATATATACAAAAGGTCAACTTGTCACCGATGTGGAGAACAAAAATAATAACAGCACATGCATAGGTTAAGATGTTCAAGAAGAAAGGAAAGGCTTTAAGAAAAATATAAATAGCATTTTTCATGATTGATCTCTTTGGAATTTTTGAACCATCACTACACAGCATGCAAAAATCATTTCTGTCACTCAGAGTACAAATTACAAATCAAATTCTAATTTTGTCAGATTTTTTTTAATCAAACATCCTAGTTTGTTAAGTCAGCATAAGCATATAAGACTAGATGGAGTTAGGCCAAATTATTTAAAAGAAAAAACAACCCTTGATCCTTAAACCGTTCTTGGAGTTATATATATTTTGGATTTTGAGAAGACTAGACCTGCAGACAATCCAAAGATAAGCATCCACAGTTGCTATTAGTTAAGCTAATGTCTTGTTTATTATTCATTTATTTAGTAAAATTAAAATATTTAATACTTCCTTTTATGTAGTCATTTTAACTGGTATACAAATAACATATTATTAAGAAACAGTTATAAAGTTATAAAAATTAAAAATGTTAATATAAATTATGTAGTCACTAAGAGTTTACACTAACCTAATAGCACACAATCATCAATATAAAATAGGAAAAGGGAGGTGAATACAAACACATACACAAATACACTCACATATATAAAATATATAATCCCATACTGTATATACATATATATACAACATACATGCATAAACATTCATATATACATATTCTGTGCTAAGAGTGATTGGATTGGTCATCACAAAGAGTCAATAAAGACTGCACCAAGTATTGAAGTTCATGTGTGACGAATAGCTACAAGGCTCAGGACTACTGGCTGTGCAACCAGGGCCAGCAATTGCAGGACTTCTGGAAGAAAAGATGTTTATCTGTCACAAATATACAAAGCTTGAAAACAAAACAAAACCAGTCAATGATGAAGAAGATACAGTGCAGTTCTGAGCACAGTTATGGGACAACCCCAAAAATTACAACAAAAATGCAGCTTAGATAAAGGAGATGAATAAAGAATAAAAAAAATAAGCTGAAATGAAAGAACTTGTAATAACAGCAGAAATGGTGATGGAGGGGAAGGTTAAGGAAGATCAAGAATTCATTGGCACTATAGGAAGAAAAACTGCATATTCTTGATTGAAACATCTGTCTGGTCTGCACTAATTCATTGCCAATCAGTTTAACAACCAATTGCAAGGAAGTGAAACTGAATCAGGCAAAACCTACCTGATAATGAAAGATCCAACAAAAGGGGCAGCACCGGGCAACTACAGGTTTACCAACCTGCTTACCAACAAAATTCAGATTGCTAATTGGTGTGGAAGCCGATGCAATCCAACAGCATTTAGTTGAAGAAAAGATTTCTCCATTTGAACAAAGGAAAACTTCCCAAATAGCAGAGGAACAAAAGATCAGCTCCCAATTGACAAGATGAATATGGCAAAAGAAAGCAAAGATAGTGCCGACAGTAATAGGCTCTTTGAGTGCAATCCCATAACAACTAAGCATCACTTGGAGCTTATCAGCATTGCCAAAATCACCAACATTCAGTTGCAAAAAGCAGCTTTATGTGTAAGAGCTTTTTCCTGTGACAATACCTTTAACACCATTAAACAACATCGCCTATCCCAGAATCTTGAGGACTCTATAGGTGGATAAAAATTTCAAATCCAGTGTAAATATTTGTCTGACTGTGCAACTAACCACCACCACCACAACAATAACAACAATGGATAGTCCCATTGATCCTTAATGGTCAACATTACCCATTTGGGGGAACCCTGGTTTGAAGCATTCTGTAAAAACATGCTTCATGAACTGAGAGTTTCTAGTGAATGACTTCAGGCTACTAGGAAGAGGCAAGGTAGCTTTTGGCTACTCTCCCCTTTTCTCTTCAGGTAAGAGTCCCTGACAAAAATGCTTTGCAGGCCATAATGATTCTAAAGTAATGATGGAGATAAAGCATGGAGTTAATGGCCTTCATTTCAAGTACACATTTCCTAAAATTTGCATCATATAGAGGTTTATTTGATGATCATTGAATAAAAATCTTCAGGGTAAAGCTAATTTAATCATGATAGGTAGAATCAGTGGTGGGATTCAAAAATTTTTACTACCGGTTCTGTGAGCGTGGCTTGGTGGGTGTGGCGTGGCGTGGCTTGGTGGGTGTGGCAGGGGAAGGATACCGTAAAATCTCCACTGAGAGGTAGAATTTGCAGGTTCTCCGAACTACTCAAAATTTCCACTACTGGTTCTCCAGAACTGGTCAGAACCTGCTGAACACCACCTCTGGGTAGAATCTTTATAATTCATTATCATAGAAAATCTGTTGGGACAAAATAAAAACTTTTTCATGAACGTGATCATATGTCTAAAGAAAATACAATCTAACCTCTGAAGAAGTTTGGTTAACTTTGTCCCCAGGGCACATACTATAGGAAATGTACTGTATAGTCTTACACTTCAGATTAGCTGAACCTACATTGCCCGTTGGAAGCCAACTACATGAGCTACTAGCCCAACTCCAAGGGTTTTTATTGGAGAAAAACTGAAGGGTTCTGTATATAATCTTTGGCTCCTGGAATTAAAGCGGGATATAAATCAGTGAATAAATAAAGGGGTGGATAAATGGCATTCAGTAGAAATTGACAGACCTCTGGCGAAAACAAATATATTTCAGATAAAGAGGACTCAGTCAAGTTGCTTGGCATTTACTCTAATTCTGATTGCTTCCTGCCATCCACCACTCACTTGTTCTTTTAATGTTCAGTTCCAGGCATATGTACTAAATTTGTGCATGCCTTCCAAGAGTTCCATTCCTTCAGGATTTCTAATGTAGTGATCTAGATAAATCATATTCTCTAAAATTTGTTTCTGTGTTATAAACCAACGTGAAAGAAATACATTGAACACTGGAAACAGGCCACCACTAGCACCCAGTTACTAATAGCAATTGTAAGCAAATCTTCTGGTGCAGGAAACCAACATATTGGGAGAATGTGTTCATCTTGCTGACAGTTTAAAATACCTGAGATATTTTTTACATCAAACTATTGCACGTGGAAATGTGTGCAATAGTTTGATGTAAACACATTTTGAATCTGTTGTCTGAATTGTACGAGCTTATTGCACCATTCATTTGACAATATTTTCAGAATTGTTGAAATTTAATTCAGAATTAGTTTAGGAAAAGTAGAAAGTTAACTACCCCTTTTAATATAAAGTGATGCCTTTCTTTGGATATTCCCTTTGTTTTTATTTGATTGTCTGTTGCTCTGAAATATTTTATGTGTGAAATTAGTAATGAGCTAAAATAAATATTGTTGTAGGGGGAGAAAATATTGCATGTACTGCAAATTACATATCAGGTTGTCATTTGAGAAATTACCTTCACTAAAGTGCTCAAGCATTTGGCAGTGAATATTTTATGCCCCCCACCTTTTTCTGTGTATCATGTAGGCTTCTGGAGCAGATGCCCTGGAGTTGAATTTATCATGTCCGCATGGCATGGGAGAAAGAGGCATGGGACTGGCTTGTGGACAGGTAAGATTTTTAGTCTCTTTCATTTCTCTGTTGCTGTACAGCACCATTTCATTGATAGTTCTAGCTGAGGGCTAGAACACAAGGAGTGAATTGCTAGCTTGGAATTCCCTGGTCTCTTCCTGTTTAAATATTTAGTGCCAAAAATGGGGGAAGTGACAAGTGTCTGAGATTACACACAGTGTTTATTTGTATAGAAGACAAAATTGCATTATGCGCTTGACAGGAAGCAATATCATAACAAATAGTTGCCAAAATGCTCGGACAGAATTGTACTTTATACATTCTTAATGCTGACTAGCCTCTCTGGGGAACAGCCATACAAGCAACATGATGCTCATAGGCATTTTACAGAAGGTTAGCTACAATGGTGGTATTTTATGGTTAGTTGAAACTACACTAAGAAGTGATGGGGAATCTGTGTGGGAACACAGATGGACTTGGGTGACCTCTTTCTAAGCTATTGGTTCTGTCATTTCAGCTCCTAAAGTGCAGTCATGTATATGTCCAGCTAGAAAAACTCCCATGGTATGATAATAGAAGACCTTGGTCCAAACTCCCTGAGTGTTAGAAACCCAATTAGTTGAAATAGAGGAAAGTATATTTTTTTAGTTGCTTCTAGTGCCAAGCTTTGTTTTTAAAAGGAACTCTTCACAAAAGTCAGCATATGGAACTGTTAGGAATGAGAACAAACATGAAATATTATAATAGGATACTTCACAAGACAAGTGTAGGGTTCAATTGCTAAGCATAACAAATTTAAAACGCCTGCTTTTATATCTAAAGAAATAAAGAACCTAGTGAATACAGAGTTAAGGAAACCATAACCATCTCTAAAGGCGCAGAATTTGTTTATAGGGAAGAGTCATATTGCAAAAGTGGAGGAGAAAAAAACAGAAATTTCTTCATTTCCCCTCTCTCTCTTCTCTCACTACAACATCTGATTATGATTTTCTTTGATAAAGAGACTATTGCATCAAAGAGTTCAGCATTTGCATGGATTAGTTTAAATGTTTCAGGTAGACTTAGCCTACCTGCTAAAAATAATTAAACATGTAATCCACATGTAAAGCAACAATTTGTTGCATTTCATAGATCTGATTAAATCTGAATGCAACATACTGTATGTGTGTGTGTGTTTGTGTGTGTGTAATTTTTTCCCTACATTTCCAAAGATGCTTTTTTTTTTTACATAGTGCTGTTGCTGTCTTTATTCCCACAACCAAATTATCTGATGTTACATTAAATCTTGAGGTTCTGCTTTGGCCTAAATTAGCCTTTCCCAACCGGTGCTTACTTCTTGTAATATTCAATCAGGAAAATATATTGGACAAAGTTGGCATAGATTCCAGGATATATTTATGGAATGTACATAGAAGGCAAAATGCTTTTATAAATAAGCAATAAAATGATACAACACACAACAATAGTCCAGGCTGCTTTGGAACTTGAGGGTATTCCAAAAGGAACACATTGAGACATATTTTTAAAAAACTGCTTTCCTATGTATTTTTCCATACATAACATAACTATGTTTCTGTCTCACTTGGCATTTTCTCAAATGATTAAAAAAAACATTTCTCCCATTTATAACCGATAATGTTCTTCCTCTGAGATCTTCAGTTATATTTCTGCACCTGTTGAGACAGTCATTTTTCTATAAGAGATTTCTTGCTTTTGCTAATCCCCATCCATCAACTCAAAATGTTGAATTTCAGAATTTTTTTCCATCTTTTTCCTAACCAGGACATTACAGCATCTGCAGTCATTTTCTCTAGTCCTCTCCTTCCTGAAGTATTTGCCCAATATGCATGGAATTATCCTATTCTGGTTTTTTTTTTTTTTTTTTGGTATTTCTTCACCCCTCTAGTTCCACTCTCATTACTCAATGAAAGTGTATAGTTTAGTTTAGTGTTTAGTTTAGTTTAGTTTATTGTCATTGCACCTCATACAATGAAATTAAATTAAATTATACATTATAACCATAAAAATAAAACACAAACACACATCCTTCACATTCTATACAATTGAATTGAAAACCCAATATTGCATTGTTTGACATAATACCATTAAGCCTTCTATGATAAAAAGGATCATTTGTTTCATTAATATAATGTAAGAAACTGAACAAAAATGTTGAATCAATCTATTTTCTGTAGTACTTAATCAGGTTCAAATCAAACTTATTGCACAACCCTATCATAAATTCTATTATATATATATATATTCTTAAGTTTTCACGGGTATTTATATGTATGTTATTCAGCTTTGTTCGGGTATTTTCCCACATCATTATAGTTGTGCTTTTAAAGTTGTAGCGACGTTTCGGCAGAATCTCAACTGCCATCATCAGGCTTGTGTATTGTGTTTGCCAGACAAACACAATATACAAGCCTGATGATGGCAGATGAAATTCTGCCAAAACGTCACTACAACTTTAAAAGCACAACTATAATGATGTGGGAAAATACCCGAATAAAGCTGAATTACATACATACATACATACATACATACATACATACATACATACATATTTAGGAGCTAATTTGGCCATGTGCCCTTTTTACCTCTTCAAGAAGAAAGGTTAGGAATAAAGGTGGTTGAAAGGAAATGTAAGGAGTGAGTTAGAAGTATGGAAGAGGTATGAAATTTAAATGTTAAGTTACAGCAAGCTATGGGATATACTGCTTTGGGAATTCAAATGAAAACAATCAAGAAGAGTTCTGGGGCACACTGAAATGAGAATTATAACTTAATATCAGACTGATTCTCCTAAAATGGTGCTTTGGGACAATAAATAGGGATTTGTATAGTAGAAATGTGTAAAATATTAAAAGAAAATCCATATGCGAGGAGTGCAAAACCTACTACAGTTATATATGCATGTTTATGGAATAATAATTTTGGTGTATTATTAGTTTGTGGTTTCTTCCAAGGGTCTTATAAATCCACAGGATAGCCTTGGGCTCTAAAATTGAGCAACTGACTCTTTGATTTTCCTGTTGCTGGAAGATATGTAAAAATGCTTGTAGCCAAGTTGTTCCCTACTGACTACACATCTAAGAGGCTTCCAGTGTTTGCATTCATTATTCCTGCTGGTGCAGGTTGGAAATGGTTTATGCAAAAGAAAGATAAGGGGGCGGGGAGAGTTAATACTTGTGTATGTGTGTTTGTGTATATATGTATATATGTATGTTTTCTTATGTTTTCACACAAATACCATACATATATGTGTGTGTATATCTGTATGTATGTGTGTGTGTGTGTGTGTGTGTATATATATATGTATATGTGTATGT